GTTGCTGCATGGTTTGACTCGAATTGAGCCGCACTATGTTAGGGATATGGCCGCACAGCCATGCAAGAGCAGCACCCTCGTTCATGTCTCGGAATCTCTTCATGCTGTGAAGGAAGCTGGATCCTCCAATGACCCTATTAGAATTCTCATAGTTGACCGTCTTGGGCCCGCCCACCGTAAGTCGTCGGAAAAACGGGGGACTGAAGATATTTGGAAGCATGACATCCCTTGCGTATGTGATGATCCGGTTGACTTCGGGTGTGATTTTGACCGGGCACGCATTGAACGGGTCGGATGATCCTTCCAGGAGGAAGACGATTTCGTGGTACTTTGGTTGGACTCGATGGCTAGGCCGTTGCCCATTATTAACACGAGATGGATTATATTCATGTACCTCTTCTTTTTGGAGGAGTTGCTGTTGCAATTTTTCCCATTTTCTTTTCTGATGCGAAATTCGGGCAGCGTGTGCTTTTATCTCAGCTCCCTCGAGCTCTTGTTCCCGAACAGGTCTGTCTCGCTTGGATGGGGGCAAGAACTTGATGTTTGAAGGGAGAGCGAGCAACATACTGGCAGCAGAAACTCAGTCATTGGATCATCGGTTGCTCACAGCACAGAGGGCAGACCTCAACCACCAGGAGGCGGAAGTCAGATGCAAGACGAAGACAATTCTCATCTATAAGGACGCCCCGCAATTCCAAGGAAAATTCGTCGTATATAAGGCCGCGCACGAGCTGTATGCGGTTCAGCTCAACTTCGGCTGGTCCGTTAGCTAGTGATCTGCCTTGCACAATGGTGTGATGTTGCCGGAGCTTAGCTGAGCTTCCAATAATCCGGTTGGTCCTTGGTTCAGGCGGCTGTGAACTTGCCCGTATACCAAGTGTCGACGAGGGGGTAGTACAGGCACGCCTTTACCGATGGTGAGTCTCACAAGGACAGGGATCATTAGGCAGCACAATGTATTAAGACCTCTCCGCGAATAGCCACATCACTGTCCGTCTTTGTGTCTAGAACCGGAGATTGAACTTTGAGGTACGCGCTGACAAAGATCACATCTAAGCTTCCTATACTGTCTCTGGCTAGTGGACAAGGCTGGTTCAGCCATTGATAGGCTTCCAACAGGGTATTTGCTGCAGGCCAATGCTTCGGCTCTCGGAAGCGCCTATGTAAGGATGTCCCAGAGACAGGAAACCTTAGGATCGACAGGCTTTCAGTGGAGAACCCCGAAGGTGATAGGGTTAGCATTACCACCTCTGGTCTTCTCTTAACAAGCGGCTCAAATCTTCAGAAAATATGACCATTGGCACAGATTCTATTTCTCAATAATGCTGGCAGCCATGAGATAAGTTTGGCGCATGATTGGAAAGCTCTATTGGTGGTAGATGCTGAAGGACTACTCCGTCTGGTCGACTTGAAGTAAGACTCTTGTCTGCGGGATGAGACGACTCGACCAGACAGACTAGTTATATTGTGTCCATCATGACTGTTGACTTGGTGGCATAGTAATCAGCGGCCAGCCCAGTCCTGGGCCGTCAAAGTAATGGTCTGGTGAGTAGTGCATCTGTGAATCACCCCCTCCGCCAACCCCTACCCCAAGACTGTTGTGATGATGATGATGATGCGGTGGAGAGAAATGCATATAAAGATTTCCCGAATCATTAAGCAGGGATGCCAAAGATGTGGGAATGGCCGGCATGGACGCAGACGTGGAGAGTCCAGTAATCGGAGAGGGCGCAAAACTTGTAAATATGGGCGATGTGACACCTGGCCCTTGCTCGGGCGCATGCCCTGCCGTTGGAGGCTGCGGCAGGAAAGAGAATGTGTCAGTCCATTGCCGCTGAGTCTGTTGATGAGCCAAGGGAGAGGTTGGGTGGTTTTGGGGAATTCCTTGAGGCATGAACATTGGTTGCGGAGGATTGCTCCTGTGCATCGCCGCATTTGGGCTGGGATGTTCTTGGAACGGGAGCGCATTTGCCTGCTCGACTTTCACGGTGCCTCCCACGATGGAATGGTTGACTGGGCTTATTGGACTGCGAGAATTATGACCTTTCGGAGGTTGCTCGAGCAAAATCCTTCGGCATTCATCTTCAAGAGCTTGCACTCGAGGCTGAAATTGTCTCTGCAAGTGGTTGCCGGTTCCTATATACAAAGTTAGTGAGACAGACTTGTCAGAGACAGCATAAACTTACTCAGGACAAGGTCTGCATACGCCATCAACGATGTCCAGCCTTTTAGCTCATTCCGCATTGCCTCGAATTGCTCAGCGGTAACCGACCCCTTTTTCCTGTTGTAGACATACAGGGTGATGCCAAATCCAGTCGCATATGCCAGCGTGGAATGCCAAGTGAAGTCCACGCCTTTGTACCTGCTCGACAATCGGTGAAAGCTTTGCAAGAGGCGCTTGGCGGATTTGTGGCAGATGTCCAGATGTCGTTCCATCACCTCAGGATCGTCACTCGTGCAGCATACTGGATGATGTAAGTTCAGCTGATACTCGGCAGCCCAAGTCTCGAATAGTAGGGTCGCGACACTTAGATTGACATGCTTTGGCTCGTTTTTGGTTGACTCGTCCCAATCCTGCCGCCACGCGACTATTTTCGTGTTGAGCGTTTCCACGGTTTGAAGGTATTCTTCTGCAGGTCTCCTGACGGCTATGATGTTGTTGTGTAATTCGGTGAGAAGGGGAAGTAATTTTGCCAGGTGTAGACAAGGCCAGAACTCGCATTGACCTGACAACTCCGAAGCAAATCCGGTCTTGGATATCTCGGAGTCTTTGATGGGCCTTGGTAAAGGGATGTCGATATGCTGGAATTGCCACGGTGCCGGTAACCCAACACGGCAACCTGTCGTCACACAGACACCTAGTATTGAATGAAAGACTCTTTTTCGGAGCTCCTTTGACAGTGGATCGTTTTCGCCGTCCGGGAGTCGGATCTTATCCGGATCGCGATGGTATTCCAGTTCGATAGCGCGAACTAGCACTTGGTGGCAATAGGTCCAAGATATACCAGGTTTTGGGAGGTTCCGAAAGTGGACGATGAGCAGCGCCATTGCCTGCATAGATGCAAGGGACCTGTCCTGGAGTAGTTCACGGTAATCACCCAGGGCGCAGTGTAGATAACGATGGGAATCGTCGAATTTCTCAGCAGAATGGAGATGGTTTCTCACCGCCGTTTGATGGGCAATTATGGCAAAGACAATCAGAACCTGGAGCCGCTCAGCAACAGTCAAGGAATCCGGCTGATCATAGAATCTGTTGACGAGGTCCATGAAGCTGGGTCGGTGGACGATCGGAACGTATTGTGACATGATGACCAGAAAATGATTGGCATCACGAAGAGCTTCTTCCTTCGGAGGTAGTTTTGGGTCCTCCACACGTTGAAGTCCACACATGGTATTGATGATTGACGTCCTCGAGAGGTTGAATTTGCCCGTAATCTCAGTGGCATAGTCTTCCATCATTTCACATTCCCAGTCTGCGATGTCGACGACACCATCCATAATGTCCACCACAGTACCCTTGACTGGACCAGAGTATAGAGCCTCGGAGTGATCTGGCGCAGGCCAGCCAATGTATTTCGCATCAAGTCTGGATGACGTAGGCGATACAGAATGCGCTGTAGATTGAGAGATTGAACTCCTGGGAGTGACAATAGGCGCGATGCCACTGGAGTCAGACCGCTGCAGGGAGCCATATCTGCGCTGGTAGGCGGCCAGCTGTTCCCTCAAAAACAGCAGCTCATTCTCGGCGCGATGCGACTCTCCTCTTTCTCGTGCTTGCCCCGTGACACGATCAGTGGTGTAGCACCGCAAACCCTTCTGACGACAAGGCTGACATGCCACTGGGTCTGTGTCACATTTCATCTTCCTCTCTTTACACCGGTCGCAGGCCTGCCCTGTTCGAGACGTCGATGCCAGCTTTTTACGGACCGCATCGCTGTATTGCGCAGGCTCTTCGGGGAGCGTCTTGAGTCTCTTCGACGGGGGGCCATGGTCATCGAAGGCAGAAGGATTCGGTCTCTTTGGGGTCGCAATGTCCATTGTGGAACACGTCTTGCGGAGCGCGTGAGGGATACGTAGTGGCGAGTGTGAGGGTCAATGGGAAAATGCGCCAGGAATTTTTTCGAAAGCATAGGACTAGTGGCAAGTACCGGGGTACATGTTCCATAAAGGGGGAGAGGTGTGTCCTGACAATAGGTAAGACGGTGAGCCGCAATCGCAAAGTCCCAGATGACAAGACGGCTGAGGCAAGATATAAAATGGATCTGGCACAAGGTCGAGGTATAGCAAGACTCGCTGTATCCGGAATAGCATTTCATCGATAATAATTGAGAACGCAATTGATCGTAAAGGGACCTGAGGGACCCAGGTAGGGTACGGGGGGGAAGCCATCCGGGCCAACAGAAGCATTCTTAGAGGGCGCAGTGACGTACACTAGACCCCCCAAAGGCAACTCTTGCCCTACGGGATTGGCGGGCTTTAGGCATGAACCTTAGTGTATGGGTGGGTGGTTGGGTGGTTGGAATACTGGCTGCCCACCTGCCCCAGCTGCCCCTCGATAGCCGAGACCAATGCTTGTGGCAGCCCACCATGCCCACTTGCTCGGAAGGCTGGGAATACCCTTGAAAGCCCCAAAATCCTCTTTCGGTAGAATCCCACCTGGTGCCATTGGTGCCTTGGTACCGTCTTCTTTCGAGTCAGCAGTGCGAAATGCACGATTAACCATCACAAAAGCTGAGACTCTTTTTGGATCAAGATCCTCGTACCGCGTACTCGTCCCTGCGCCCTGCGCCGACCCTAGTCCTCTCCACGTGACGTGCGGTAGCCAAGCAATTCTCGTGCTTGGCATTGACCAACTATTCAACTGTGATGGACTTTTCTCCCTCACCTTATGTTTCTCTGTGCGCATGATGTCTTCCTCACACCACCCCCTCTCTCAATACCGGAGAATTCCTCGCGGCATATCCCGCCCTTTGATCCGTCTCGACGGTCGAGAGCAGACTATGGGACTCCATTCTCATAGTCCAGAAGTCTACGAATCCTCTTTGTTCGTGGAAGACTGCAAAGGGGATCGGCAAAACTTGACTTATGGGTCATTGGATCGGCATGCCATTCCGCGCTATCGACCAGCCGGTCAAGGTGGCTTACTCGGGTTGGGTCCGAACTATCGAATAGTTTCACGTTCAGATACACGCCTCGATGTGGAAAATATCGATATTGATTCCACACGAAGGTCCCGCAGACAGTCTCTACTCGAGGACCTTCCCGAAGATGATGCGGCGGAGAACGTTCCATCCGGAGTGAGCAGCGAATCAGATCTACGCAAGGACTTTCTGAGCTTCGATAGTGGGCATCCGAGGAAGAGGAGACGGATGTGGGCGGAACTGGAACATGTCCCTTTGCAAGAGGACGAGAGCAGTGAGTCAGACCTAGACAGTGAAGCACTTTCACCCTCCAAGGACGCTTTCGAGGAGTTCAAGAGGGATCCTGCCCATCAGCGCCATATCGAACTCTTGAGAGCCACGGAAACTCGACCCGAGGACGTGTCGGCATGGATTGCTTTGATCGAGTATCAGCCCGTTCTATTTGGCGATGCGCACAGTTCCCGCAGCTATGCCACTCCCGCGTCAAGAACGGTGGTCGATCTCAAAATATCGCTGTACGAGCAAGCATTGTCACGCGTCAAAGGCCGCGAAGGTCGGGATACTCTGATCCTGGGTCTCATGCAAGAAGGGAAGGCCATTTGGGATGCAGATAAACAGGCGTCTAGGTGGCGAACCTTCCTTGGTGACGAGGCCTCGTTTGACCTATGGCGGCTTTATCTGAACTTTGTCCAGACAAATTCCGTCAAATTCAGTTTTGAGACCTGTTTGGGCATCTACAAGCAATGCCTTCAAAAAGCAGGAAACGAGTCATCTGACTCGAGAGACGCTAGTTCCATATACGTCCTTCTCCGCCTGACCTTGTTTCTGTGGCACTCTGGGTTTACGGAACGCGCGGTCGGGATTTGGCAGGCCCTCCTCGAATTCAATTACTTTCGTCCCCATATTAGCCCTACCACTGAACTCATACCATCCTTTGAGGGATTCTGGGCAAGCGAGGTTGCGCGAATCGGGGAGGAAGGTTCTGCGGGGTGGCGGTCGAATGCAAACGGTGAGGTTGAGGCGAGAAGCGACAAAGATTTCCAGGTGCGGGACATGGATTTTGAGGCCTGGGCAACTGCCGAAACTGAGCTTGAAAGAACCGCAGGGCTGCCTGCAAGAGCTCTAGACGAGGTCAACGATGATGATCCTTATCGCGTTCTCCTCTTTTCGGATGTCAAAGACTTCCTCTTCTCCACGACCACCGTGAAAGGCTCGTGGCTTCTGCGAGATGCATTCTTCCTGTTCAGTGGCCTTTCGCCACTATCGTCACTGCCTGAGTCCAGAGTCTGGGAACGGGACCCTTTCATTCATAGCCACTTACCTCTCCCCGGCATCTCTGTGGAATCTGACAGCCCTGCAAACAGCAGCTTTGGGTTCCAGTTGCGCTTCCAAGAAGTCTTCCTGGCGTCTCAGCAAGTGAACTCCCGGACACACGGCGTTTCACTTTCTAGCCCTGCAAGACTTGTCGATTCGGCTTTCAGCTTTGTTCGCCGAGCCATTTCTCAGCTTACGGAACTGGCAGTTGACGAAGAATCGAGTGATCTGCATATGGAATATGCGATTGCATTGGAGGCTGGAGTAGACTTGAAATCCGCCAAGAAACAGACGAGGACATTTCTCAAGCGCAAGGCTGACAGTCTCAAACTGTACAATATATACGCGCTACTCGAGTGCCGGCTGGACAATTTTGAAGGTGCTGAAAAGGTTTGGTCAACCGCGTTGTCGATGCGACATTCGCTCGGCCAAAAAGAACAGCTTGACTCATTCCTTCTGTGGCGTGACTGGGCATACTCGTACATGCGCCGAAGACAATTTCAGAAGGCTAGGGCCCTTTTAAATCGCATAACAGAGGCACAGGTTAACTTGGCTCAGCTCCGAACAGAAAGCGAGGAGACTACTGAACCATCTACTACAGTGCGGATAAAGGTCGACCATTATATCAAAATGCACATCGAGCAGAGTTGCTCCCAGAATCGAGCAGAGCAATTACCGACACTAATCGACGTTCTAATATTGCATAGGTATCTCAATGCTGATCTGTCCCTTGACATAGCCCTACAGACATACCATGCATCTTTAGTCTCTTTCACTGGCTCGTCGACAATATCTTCTGCCGTGCTTGAAGCCATTCACGAGCAGCGGGCTCGCTTCATTTACGCCCATTCTGTGACCCTTGAAAGGAGCTTCAAACCGCGAGGACTCGTGCCCATTCTCAAAGACTCAACAGAAATGTTTCCCGACAACCTCAACCTCTTACTTCTCCATCATTATTTCCTTCAGAAGGCCGGATTGTTTGAGCGGTTGCGGCAGCTAGACCCCAAAGAAGAGGGGGCCAACGATGTACAAACCGGAAAAAGTATCGTTCGATGCGTGCTTGAGTTGATGCTGGAGCTCAACAGACCATCGTACAGCGGAAGCACTGATCACAGCATTCGCTCAGCTTTCAAACGAGTGACGCAACCCGGGTCTCCTGGGCATGACAGTGTGGAAATATGGTACACGTATGTTCAGTGGGAAACCTCACTAATTGGAATCCATGGTCATTCAAACCTAGGGAGAAAAACATCAAGGAGACCCGAAGAGAAAGCCCACATATCTGCAGCAATGGCAACGCAATCCTTTTATGCATCGCTACAAGCATGTCCGTGGTCGAAAGGACTATGCATGCTGGGATTTACACTTCCAATATTGAGAGACGCGATTGGAGACGCGAGACTCAGACAGGTGTATCAAACCATGCTAGACCGAGGTATGCGGGTGCGCCTTGACATTTCAGATACGTTGCCGTAGTCTTTTGCACTTGTATATGTATGGTACATGAAGACAGAGCCTCGTCTGCAGGGCTCGAGGCTGAAGATCTTAAATTTGCTTGGCACGGTTCTTATCCCCGCAATGTCCGGGTGTCTCCAAAACTTTTTTTTGGTTTGTCGCATGCCACCACTTGATTGACAGTGAAGATTTCAACGACCAACCTGAGATAACACTGAGGGGATCCTTGGAGCTCGCTGCTCTAAATTCTCGCCTATGGAAACAACTTTGAATCACTCTGCCCTCCTTCTACGACAGCCGCAATGACGTCCACCTTCGTCGCGCAGCTGCGCACTATCGCCGCAAATTCTACGAGCGAACTCGATCTGCGCGCCCGACGAGGTGCACACGCCGAATCCCTCATTTTCGACCGCAGTGTCGCCGTCAAGCAAGACTGGGAGACAATATATCACGTATGTGTGGAAGGCTTTCGAGAGCTGTGTTTACTGGATACAAGACTGCATGAATTCGAACAAAACCTCTACAGCCCTCAGTCCAAAACGCAGGACCGAGAGCTGCTGAACAAGACACAAAATGAAGCGTTGGGGCTCGTGATAGATCGATGTCTTACTCTCCTTGGATCCAAGGTGTTGCTCCGACCCGGCCTGAAAGCAGTGGAGTGGCTCGTGCGAAGATTTCGGGTTCATGTCTACAATACGGATGTGTTACTGGCCACATTTTTACCGTACCACGAAACACCTTTATTCGAGAATATCTTGAGAATCGTCCCATCAGACAGATTTGTCAGTGGGTGGAAATTCCTGGCGCCCTACCATAAAGAAGCTGCCAGTGTTCCTCGACGAGTGGTCATATACAGCGCCACTCACAACGACGCCTTTTTCTCCCTTTTCAACGACTACGTCCTGCATGCATGCCAGGAAGGTGTAGCCCACTCGTCACTACTACGCTTTTGGGGCAGCGTCGTTGTCGAGGCGGTAACTGGAAGACTGAGTCAGGTCAGGAATGGAAGAAAAGAAGTGCAGAAACAGCGGACAGAGGATGTGCTGTTGAAGATTTTACCACTGCTCAGTGAAGGGTTTGAAATCAAAGACTGTCCAGAATTTACAGTCACATGTTTCACCATTGTTCTCGTGCTAGCAGGCGGTGCGGATCTCGGGGACCAGGTCATCGACTCTTTGATGATGTCGATCGCCCCCTTTATTGCCGAAGAGACATCCGACTCTAGGTCGGCTTTGGCATGTTTGGCTATTCTGGTCACCAAAAAGACCGACATGAGAGTTCCCAGAAATGTGCTTGACATATTCATCAACACCGACGACATAGGGCGACGACTGTCTGATCTACTCAAAGTGGTGCCCTTGGCGTCCTTGTTCGAGGCTCTGATCAGCTCTGCGACGTTCGCGTTGAAGCCCAAGAATATCGACAAAAGAATGCGCATTGTCGAATGCATATTTCACGTCGCCGAGGACCACTGCGCATCGGCAACAAAAAGTCGGCTCCTTGCACCGCTGCTTCGAAAGCTTTTCTCAACAGATTCCACCCTTTCCGCAGAATCGACAAGGTTGATGTATTTGCTTCAGACGCTGGCTGGCTCTTCAAAATTCTCGCCGTCATTCTCTCATGCGATGTCTTTGGCTGGCTGTACCCAGACGGAGGTGGAAGGTCTTCTCCAGCAAACAATTGAAAGCTCTCGGCAACCACTCCTTGAAGACACACCTATGGAACTTGACAATCTCGAAGATGAATCATTACAGAATTCGGAGGAAGCCGAAGCCATGCTTGTATCCCTTCCCCCTCACACTACCGAGTCGTCGTTCCTCGCTTCTGGGAATAATCGCTCTCCTCTGTTTCACCAGCTTACTCGAACATTCGCGCTATGCCACAAGAATAGTCAGCTTTTGGAACGATTTGAGCAACTTCCGCTCTGGAACAAGCACGAAGGGAAGCCCGCCAATCTACATTTTACATTCCTATTGAGAATGGCACTGGGCGCCTTTGCCACCCCTCAACGCAATGCTGCGCTTCGGCTTCTCTCGGGAATTATCAAAGCGGAATCACTGGGGCCTTTACAAGCTCTGATTCCCTACATTACCGTGCTTCTTTCTGACAACAGCCAACTTGTGCGACGAGCAGCCGTCGGTTGTATGGCAGCTGTTCACGAGGCTGCTTCAAAAGAAGGGAACGGTGAGCAAATCACCGCCCAAACGGTGTACGATGACCTTGGCATGCGGAACGTCAAACCCCTGCAATCTGCGCAAGCAGTGAAGATCCTGGGCCAAGTCTACTTGCCTTATCTCGAAGAATTTGTCCTGGATCCTACTTACATACGGAGAATGCTTCAGACAACCTTTACTGGGAATGACCGAACGCCCTCGTCCAAGGCTGGCGATATTGAACTCAAAAAGAGCACGAAGCAAGCGCTCTACGATTTGTTGGCCGGCTGTGCTCTGGAATGTTCTTTACTGCGAGTCAAGATCGGCATTCTCGAGCTCCTGGTCGACGTCCACAAAGTGGGTAGCTTAAGCACCAGCAAGATTCTGTCGCCTATCCTCGAAACCTGGGCATCGCTGAATCAAGAAGAAGCCGAAAATGCCGCGTCATCAGAGAGTCTTTCTTTGGACCAAATAGATGCTGTGGTGGTTCGACTCGTGAATGCACGAGACAAGGACGCCGTGGAGCACATTCTCTCGATGCTTATCGAAGATAGACTCCAGCCGCGTGCTGCTCTGGTCAATGCTTTTTTTGACAGAATTACTGGCATCTGGAAGGATATGCATCATGAATCACAAATCTCTGCTGCCCTACGCCTATTTGATATGTGTTTCTCCAAAAACTCGGCCCAAGCTGCTGGAAGTCGTCATGTTTTGCACGCAATCAACCTTTCTACGGAGATTCTTGCTGCAATGCTAGACCGCTCATTTTCCGGCCTTGCAGAGATGCAAACAGATGTCCCGCCCAGGAAAAGACGTCGTGTCAGCCATGGGCGTGAAAGCATACCGAAGGATCTGGCATTCGAACTGGATATCAGTGAGGCGAGATTGACTCTTGCGCTGGAGCTTGTGGAAGATTCCAAACCACAAGGACATCTACAACTGCTCGGAGGCTTGTTCGAGGTATTGATAATCCTCAGACGACTCAAGGACAAGGGCACATCTGAATCTCCATACCTTCTCAACCTGTGTCTCAGCAGCATATTGGCAATCATCGACAACGCACGAAAGTCTCCAAGGTCAACCATCGACTTCTCTATTATTCGTACCGACTTGGTCACGGATTGTGTTCGATCGTCAGAAAACCCACAGGTCCAAAGCACTGCTCTCCTTCTCTCGGCCGCCCTGGCTTCTTTGGCTCCAGATCGGATATTGCATAGCATTATGCCCATCTTCACATTCATGGGTAAAAGCATACTGTCAAAGGATGATGAGCGCTCAATCTACGTTACCAATCGAACCATTGACGAAATAATCCCTCCTTTGGTTGCCACTTTGAAAAAGCAGGATGCCAAAAAGCTTGTCCATTCGACTTCAAGCCTGCTTTCCAGCCTCGTCACAGCATACGACCACGTCCCTCAATACCGAAGGGCCGCATTCTACCAGCGGCTTCTCAGCAGGCTTGGTGCTGATGACTTTGCGTTTGCGGTCATAGCTCTTCTCGCATCGAGGCGACATGCGGAAGATATGTCCTCGTTCTTTGCAAGCTTGATGGCAGACCTTTCGGCATCAACTCAGCTGTTGACCTTTAGAAAGCTTGTCGAGTTGAGTGTTGATATTTTCTCCGAGGATCCTCACGATGCCGTTCCCTTGCTAGACATCAGCAGAATGAGCTCGGATGAGAAGAAGGAGCAAGAAGCATTAACCTTACTAGAAGTGGCTTCGAAACTCCTCCAGTCCAAGACCCTCAAAGCGCAGGTAAAGATACTTTCGAAATCTGACGAAGCCGGAAATGAAACCTTCTGGGTTGAGTTCGGTGTCTGTATGACGCGCGTCCTTAGTATGCTCAAATCCCAGAAGTCCAGCCACGGCAGTCTGACCCCATCGACGAGGAAGTGTTTGAGCTCGCTCCTTGAACTACCTTCCCTCGCCGACCTTCTCAAGATCATGCCCAATCTACTACAGGACATGGCACAATCCGAAGAAGGTCAGCAGGAGCTCCAGCCTCTGGCGCTTAGAGTTCTTGCGACACAGCTCCAACATACTGCTCCGAGCTCAAGGGATACCAAGACGCAAACGCAAGCCATTGCATTTCTCCCAACTCTACAGCACACTATCCGCAGCACGGACGATGAGGCACTCAGGCATGCAGCGATTGCGTGTGTTGATCGCATAACTGAGGCATACGGACGCAAGAACCCAGAAGAGGTCATCAGCGCCTCTACCGCCCTGATTGAAAGCGAATTCGGCCTAGATTCCCACAATGAAAGGACAAGGATCATGTCTCTACTCTGTCTTGCCAGCACGACGGAGGTGCTTAAGGAAGGAAGTGTCCCGATAGTGGTACAAGCCCTTCCCAAAGTCTTGCGTCTGTTGGAGTCGTTCTTAACTCGACAAGGTGAAAGCAACACCAGCGAAGGCCGAGCGGAACTGCACGACGCTTGCTTCACGTTGCTTTCTTCGTGCATCACGCACACTCCCTTTATTATCAGTGACGAAAGCATTACTGAGATTATCAGTCTATCCTATCGCTCGTGCCTCGCAGAGCCGGACGAGGTCTCACGCAAGGAGGCTCGACTTGAGACGCTGAGCCTCATGGCACAGCGATTGGACTTGAAGACGCTCGTAAACAGCTTGAGTCAGGCTTGGAAACTGGCGGTGGCATCCGGCGAGAAGGTCGATGGAGAAGCGATCACTGAATTCCTTGACATGCTTTCTCAAGCAATTGAGCGCAATTCGAAATCTGCCGTCGTGGGTGCTGCCGATGAGATATCGGCTTTCATCCTGGACGTCCTGGATCTGCGACGGCTCATCCAAGAGAGAGACAATGCTGACAAACAAGCCCATGCCGAAACTGTCGCCTTGTCGGACATTGAGGATGTGGAAAGGAGACTTCACGAGTTGGGCATCGTGTTCATTTACAAACTCAACGACACTACATTCCGACCCATCTTTGAGGGATGGGTTAACTGGGCGACCCGAAAGAATTCTGGGACTTCCACTTCTGCCGAAGGCATCTTGCAGGAGGATATGGCACGGCTGGCCAGACAAGCAAGCTTCTACCTCTTTGCCACGCATTTCTTCGCGACCCTGAAGAGCATCGTGACGAGCTACGCGAGCTACCTCCTCCCATCCGTGAACGATGTCTTGCAGTCGGCCATCGACGGTGCCTCGTTGCCGGTGCGTGGAACGAAGTTGAATGCCGCAGAACAAAATTCTGAGACGAAACCCTCCCTGCACATTGACCTGTCAGAAGACACTGGCCTGCAACTGTACAAGTCGACCATAACGCTATTGACGACGATCGCGACCCACGATGCAGATGGATTCTTTACTTCGCCCTCACATTTCCAACCTCTGGCCAATCTTCTCGTTGGGCAATTGGGCCTTGCCTCGTCTCCCAAATCCCGATCCAAATCCACACCTGTAGGCAACACTAAGCCCAAGAGCAAGGGTAAAGCTAAGTCGTCCTCGTCTTTGCGGGGCATGATCTTCGACACGGTGATCCCATGCATCGTGGCCCTCGCGACCGCCGTGCAAGACGTGCCTCCGCACCACCACGTCCTGAACCACCTGCTCTGCCAGCTCCGGCGCAGCCCCTCGGCGGCCGTGCGCCTCGCCAGCATCCGCACGCACATGACGCTGACCGAATCCTCGGAGGTCGGCGACGAGTGGCTCCAGAACGTCGTGCTGGGCCAGTCGAGCACCGCCGCGACCGAGGTTGGTGGGGGTGGTGGAGTCGCGGTCGGCGGCGCCGGCGAGACCATGGTCTACGTCAACGAGATGCTTGAGGACGACGACGAAGAGGTCGAGGGCGCCGTGAGGGATTGGGTCAGGACCGTCAGGGAACGCGTCGGCGAGGACGTTTTTGAGTTTTAGCTTGGCTACCACCAACCAACCTATTTACCTACCTACCTACCTAACTACCTACATAGATCACTCTATATATCACTTTTCTCCCCACAGACCTCTCTGGGGGATTGCTCCACAATATGCTCCTAAAAGCTAGCGATGGATTCCTTCAGCCATGAAATTCGATACAATGTCAACGGAATCGATGATGGCGTCAAGGGCGAACAACCCAGCAAATGACCCCTTAGCTATTTTAACGAGAAGAAATAATGGGGTCGGTGGGGGGGAAAAAAAGTGCATTTGTGAAGGTGAGAGAGGAACCAGAGAGATATTGGATATCGAACGCATAAGACAGGGAGGGATAGGGATAGGGAAATTAATTAATTTATCAGAAGGTGTTGAAAAGAGAGATAATCGTCTCCTCCGTGCATGCTGCGCCTGTGCCTGTGCCTGTGTCTGTGTCTGTAGCATCTAATATCCGTCAAAAATCTAACATCTGTTCAGCCTTAGCCTACCCTGTCGTGCCTTGACCCAGCACATTGCCCATTCCCGAGCACACACATTGAAGAACGAACCACAACTCCCGACCCGAGCTGCCTCTCTCTTGTTTTCCTTTGAAAAAAAAAAAAAAGACATCACAGTGTCGAAGAGCAGATAGAATCTGGACGATAAGAACATTGCCGAGTCCCACAAAAGAGTTTGGTCTAGAGACTGACTTGAAGAAAGAAAGCAAAAAAAATTGCCAGGCACGAGAACCCTCCTTCGAGTGTGTCTCCTCCTACACGTGCTGACAGGCCCACGTCAAGTCAACCAGCGTTCCACAAACCCCCAACGAAGAGAAAAACCGCTGTTCCCGCTCAGATGTAAAACATGTGTCGCGCAATGTCCGGATGCAGTTGGAGGCAGTCGTTGAACTGGCCCAGTTCGCTCTCGTCAAACGGCCGGATCGGCTGATCCTGGTCGTGGTCTCGTGGCGGGTTGTAGAATTGGCGCACGAAACACCGCGCGCGGTCGGCGACCAGGTCGGCGTAGTAGACGGGGTTGCATGGTCCGACGGAAGTCCGCGAGCGGCCGAAGAGATAGCAGAGATGGTATGTCTGGTCAAGTATTAGCCAGTGAGGGCGGCCCACGCGGAGAGACAGTAAGGGAGAAGAGGGAACGGTATAGTCAAAGGGGGATGTGGGTTTAGAATACAGAGACAAATCAAAAACTCACCATCCTGGCGATATCCTGCATGTCGTAGTTGCGCGGATTCCGCAACACATTGTAATGCACCGGGATGGCCGTGCCCTGGATGGCCTTCTGCCCGACCAAGAAAAAGTCGTTGCCCTGTCCGTACGTGATCCGGTCCATCACCACACAGCCCGGGACGGGGTTGTTGTTGACGCTGCCGTTCTTCTGCTGCTGGTTCAGCACGAGGCTTCGGTCTTGCGAGCCAACGTCGGGATTCGGGAAGAGACGAGTGTGGTGGCGTTTGATGGCACAGATGAGGGTGACTTTGGGCAGGAGCTCGACAGGCAGACCCTTTTGTTGGAAAAGCTGGCTCAAGGCGGCCCCGATCTTCTCGTACTCGTAGTCCTTGCACATTGCGAACTGCGACTCGGACACGCCGTCCCGGTACACGATGATCTGGTCTGGAATGCCGCTGTCCTTGGACCCTTTGGAGCGTGGATCGTGGTTACGGTTGTAATAGTCCAGAAGTCGCTCGTACACGGCCTGGTCCAGATTCAGTATCTTCTCGTTGGCCTCTTTCTCTTCGTCATCTCTCGTGGAACATGGGTTCGCCAACAAACTCGCCGGCCATTGCGAGAATTCTGCATTGACGCTGCCGACCACGGCCGCAACGCTGGGGCAGTGTTTCCTTGGTCCACCTCCATGGGCCACATCAATGCCGATGATCATCGTCTTGGGTGTCAGCATCTTTGGGTTACCATGCAAGGCTTGATTGACGGCCGTCTCGTCCACTTTCAAGTTGATTTTCATGCACAAATTCGCCAGAAAGTCGTGGTTGACCCTACCCTGTGGATCGCCAGGACGTAGAATGCTTTTGGGCCAGAGTGCCTTGCCGCCAGACTGGAGCACATGGCAGACGGTAGCGATGCCAACCTTCTGGTCGCCCGCTCGTTTGATAGCACTGTAGAGTTCCAGGTCATGGACAGGGATAAGCAGGACCACCAGCTGGACTCCATTGGCTTTGAGATCCTTGAGCAGTTTTGTGATGGCGGTGGATTGCTTCTGGAAACTTGAGACTGTCTTCTGCTTCGGAAACAAGTCATTGTCGGCGTACTGTTGTGCACCCATGTTGTTGGGGTTGAACTGCCACCATTCAAATCTCTGCATGCCATACTGCCGCAACGCATGGGTCAGATGGTCCACGAAATGAGTAATCCCCTGCGTTGAGCATTTCAATGGCCTTCCCTCCGCCGTGAGCTCGACGCATGACCACTTCTTCCCAGAAGCTGGCCTCACAAAAGCGGCACCTTGGATATTCCATTGACCAGCGTGAATGAGCGCTCCGTCTATGCATTTCGCTTGAGTCGAGTCTTCTGAAATCTTGTACATAAGGCTGGGCCGAGCCAGCACTGTGACGGGGACCCTGGCCATTCTGGAATCAATTGACAAGCGAAACGCTGCCGCTCCACCATGGGCAAGGTCGGTCGAATAAAATGTGCGCCGGCCATCTGTGACGATCATTTTGTAGTTCTCATCTGGGAATCGAGTCGAAAATCGGGGGATCTCGCTTGGCTTCAGTCGCCCAGGCAGGATCTGAAGGAGGTTTGCGGGGACCGTCATGTGCCCGTTCTGTGACTCTTTCCCGATCTTGACGACATTTACTTTGGCGTCCATTTGCCAACTGTGCTTCATTGAGAAGTAGTCTCTCACAAGACCACCCGAATGCTGTTGTTTGAGATGTCTCATGTCGCACCTATCGGCTGTAGACAGTCCATCATTGCCCACAAGCCCTTTTATGCCAGAGAACCGATCGAGTCCTGGTTCCTGGAACGCCAGCCTGACCGGAGCCCGGCGCAAGAAGTCTTGAAGGGCATACAGACCGGCCGTAGGGTATTGACGTCTGAATGCATCAATCACGTCTTGGACACTCCCATGCTGCCAGAAACAGCCGGTCTTGATGTAGATGTTGAGATCCACGTGCCCCGGCGAACTGAACGAGCCTCGGACGCTCCTCGAGAATCCTGGAATGCTGTAGCGGCCACCTCGCCCGTCGAGCACCTTACCAGTGTCTGTCATCCAAGGTCCTAAATGTCGGGGAGGCGGTGGAGGAGCGATGCCATAGAACGTCTGTCCATTTACCGTAGTCATCGACGGGGTAGAGTCATGACGACTGGAAAAGCAATGCTGGTAAGGAAGATAGCTGAAGATGATGTTGAGAGCGTTGGTTGCATCAATGAGAGCTTCAGTCGACAGCTGCGCGCCGGCGACTTGAGGTTGTGCAGAGCCATAGTGCGCGAAGAGATCGGTCAGAGAGATCAGCTTCGGCGTTTCAAACTCTACACGGTACCGGTCACAATTTGGGTCGGGACCAACCGAGAACTCGTCGTAGAAATCAAATTCGCGTGACTTGGTTGTCCCCTCATCCAGTTGGTTTGGCGTGATGAGCAGCTTCAGGTAATCAGTAGCGATGGGGTCCGGAAGTCTCTTTTCCAACTTGAGCTGCTCGAGGAGGAGGTAAACCAGTCGTCTCTTCTTCTGCCTCGCGATATTGCGGGTCTTCTGTGTAGCAGGGACGCCATTCTCTGTCTCGGTGGATCGACTTTGGTCGTTCTGTGCTTCTGGGTGAAGTCTACTGATGCTCAACTCGTAAGAAAAGACTTGTTGATAGGTCCCTAGTGTGATGGCGAAATGGTTGGCTAGCAGCTCTTTCCCTGGAATGTCGACATTTCGTGTCCCTTGAGGTTTCGAGTCCCCATGCAGCCGACCACCCCTACCGCCGTGACCTGTTTGTGGCTGTCTTGGACGGTGAGACAATGGTGGGTGTCCCCCTCTGCCACCAGTCGGGGGAGGTTTCCAGTTGGTATTGGCCTGCCGAGGGGTGAACTGACCACCTGGTTGAGGCAGCGCCCGGTTGCCGCTCGAACCAGGAGGCGCTCCTTGCCGAGTCGGTTGGAAAGGGGCCACTGATGGACCAGTTGGAGGAAGATTTGGCGAAGAGTTGTTTGGCTGGCTGTTGTCAGGACTGAAGATTGGGTTCGCACGGTAGGGCGGTTGTGCCTCATCAGCATTGTTGTTGGGAGTGTTGCGGTTAGGGCGACCCCAGTTCGGATTGTATCGTGACATGTTAGTAGGATGAGTGACGGAGAGGTTCCTAAGAGCGAAGAGGTGACATTTTCACTTGAGAACGACTGGATCTAAAATACGTTAGTAAAACGAACAAGGGCAGTTGTTTGGGCTCAACAGCGTCAGGCTGTTTGCTGCAATAACGAAAACACCAAGTAACCCAGAGAGGGAAAGCCAAAGCCATCTGTGTAACAACAAACCCGCACAACGAGACAAACACCAGTATTCTTAGTCGTGAGTGATGAAACGGAATGAAGAGAACAACGCATGAGGATGTAGAGCAAAGTTGCCCAAGGCGGTTTTCAAAGTACAGGGAGATGCAAACAGTCTGGATGAGCAGGTTGACTGAAGAATATTGAGCCCCTGAAGTGCCATTCATTGTAAGAAAAGCATTGTAACAAGTACATCAAACACAAATGGACTCGCTTCGAATCTGTTCCAGTCAGCAGGGAAATGCCACACGCCTCCAGTAGTAGAGACATTTTTCTTATAGAGATTCACCATACTTGATTACCATTGCAGCTTGATCGCCCCGTCTCGTCCTCTGCCTCCTTCAAGTCGCGCTGGTTTGTGGACCCTTTTCAACCCGTTGCTTCAACTCGCCGTTGAACTTGTCCAGCTGCTTGACCAAGTCTTTCACCATACTGCCTGGAACCAACACACTCAGCAACCCTTCCACGTCTTCACCATGATCGAACAACGTCTTCTCCCCACCGTCCTGTGGCACGAGC